TGTCCGGCATGCGGAGAGACCCCACATGACTCGAAACATCTCTTCGCATGCCCGGCAAACCCGACATCCCTAACGACCTTGTCCTTATGGGCAAACCCCGCAGAAGCTGCACGCTTCCTAGGGCTGCCGTTAGTGGAACTTGACGACAACGACTGAGATACCAACCGATCAGGGCGGGGTTGTTGTAGCCGCTGCAACAACAACAACATAATGCAAAACCTCGTATGTGAATTATGTAAATTATCTTCTAGAGAGTAAAAACACTCATATTTCAAAATGGTTCTCTTTTTTATAAAGTAATCGCATACCTGGCCAGTATATATCAGGACGAATGGATAAGGATTGAGCCAAGTTACGCGGTTTTGCAGAATGACAATACGCGGTTTTGTACTTTAAACGACGATATGTAGGTATATCATCGTTCCACCGAGTTTGAAAACATATACGAAATTCGTTACTTTTCCGTGTCGATGGAATAAATTAATTGAACAATTTAATTAAAAGTTAACTGATGCTGCCGTATATATGTACATACTTTAATCAATTGGAAACTGTGTGTGTGTGTATGGCATTTTGATTAAATGTTTAGGCTTAATTCTTTAAATACGCATATGTACATATCTAATCGCGTGCCAACACTCAGATAGCATTTGGCAAACCTATTAGCGCATTTTCGCAATAAAAACGTGAAAAAGGGTTGGTCTGAGGAGTGATAGAATATAAGGGTTTTTTGCAAAGTATGTTTTTAGCTTTTCGTTACGTAATACGTACATATCTTATTTTAATTATTCGTTATTAATTTTGTATACTCACTTTATTATTCTGATTTCTGCACTTTCAGGGCCTATCATTTACCGTTGAAGAACGCCAAATACTGGGCATTCAAGGCCTATTACCCGCTGTAGTTAAAACCGAGGATGAACAAGTACAACACGCACTCATCTTGCTCGAACGCCTCGAAAATGATTTGGACAAATATATATATCTCTCCGGCTTGGCCGAACGCAATGAGCGTCTGTTCTATAAAGTGCTGGGCACTGATATTGCCAAAATGATGCCACTGGTGTATACGCCCACTGTGGGCTTGGCTTGCCAAAAGTTCAGCTTGATTTTCCAATATCCAAAGGGTCTCTACATCACCATCAAAGATAAAGGACACGTCTATGATGTGCTCAAGGTAAGATAATGATTTAATTTGTATATCCATACATACTTATATAAAGTATTGAAATTTTTGCTCTGACAGAATTGGCCCGAAAAAGATATCCGCGCCATTGTCGTCACAGACGGTGAGCGTATTTTGGGTCTTGGAGATTTAGGCGCCAACGGTATGGGCATCCCGGTTGGAAAGCTATCTCTGTATACCGCTTTAGCTGGTGTAAAACCACATCAATGCCTGCCCATTACTTTGGATGTCGGCACCAATACACAAAGCATCTTGGATGATCCCTTGTACATTGGACTGCGCCAGAAGCGTATAACTGGACAAGAATATGATGCCTTCGTTGAAGAGTTCATGCAGGCCGTTGTACGTCGTTATGGCCGCAAATGTCTCATTCAGTTCGAAGATTTCGGTAACAGTAATGCATTCCGCCTTTTGGAAAAGTATCGCGATAATTATTGCACATTCAACGATGATATTCAAGGCACTGCCTCAGTTGCGGTGGCTGGTGTTTTCGCCTCTTTGAGACTGACCAATACCTCGATTAAGGAAAATAAAATTTTATTCTTCGGCGCTGGAGAAGCCGCTTTGGGTATTGCTAATCTTTGTAAAATCGCCATGATACGAACGGGGCTGTCCGAAGAGGAAGCGGTGGAACGCATTTGGTTAGTTGATAGCCGTGGCTTGGTTGTAAAAAATCGTCCAAGCGGTGGTTTGACTGAACACAAATTACACTTTGCTCACCAACATGCACCTATCGACAATCTTTTGGATGCCGTTAAAGCTGTCAAACCGACAATGTTGATCGGTGCTGCAGCTCAGGGAGGTGCTTTCACACCAGAAATTCTTAGCTTAATGGCCGAATTAAATGAAAAACCTGTCGTATTTGCTTTATCCAATCCCACCAGCAAAGCTGAGTGCACAGCCGAACAGGCGTATCAAAACACAGATGGCAGAGTTATTTTCGCATCCGGCTCACCTTTCGCACCTGTTACGTATAAAGGCAAAACCTACCATCCAGGTCAAGGCAACAATTCGTATATTTTCCCTGGCATAGGCTTAGGTGTTATTGCCGCCAGCATCAAAACCATTCCCGAAGAGATATTCCTAATGGCCGCACAGAAATTGGCCAGCTTAGTGCAAGACGAAGATCTGGCAATAGGTAGCCTTTATCCACCACTGGAAAAAATCACTCAATGCTCAATTGAAATTGCTGTTGTGATTGTCGAATACGCCTACAAAGAGGGTGAGTTCTTGTTCAGAGTGCAATCCATGACATACTATATAAAAACAAAACTTATTATGGAAATATTTTGGTATATGCTTATGATATGAATACTTTCGTTTACAGGATTGGCCACTGTATATCCAGAGCCGGAGAATATTAGTGAATTTATTAAGTCTCAGATGTACAAAGTAGACTATACCCCCGCTGTTCCCGAAGTCTACTCGTGGTGTAATAAATTGTAAATATAAATATTTCGAAGCAAAATGTTCCGCAAAAGAAGTGAACAACTGTGAACTGAACACGGCGAAAAGAGTAGTGTATTGTACGCCCAAATTACTGTATAGCATCGTATCCATGAAAATATTTTCAAAATCTTAATGTGTATATTAACACCTAATCATAAACATAAAATAAAAACACATAAATTCAAAATATAATCATGACGTATTGACAATTATTGGCGGGCACAGTGACTGAACTTGTATTTCCAGTTCAGAACGCACGGTAACCCTGTGTACTTAAATTCAAAAGACACTTTGGCATGTGTTGCAGATCGTTCGATTTGAAATCGGTGCGATTTTCAAAACCAGCTTTGGCGATTTCTTAACAAAAAATCGAAATTCGGCACTGAATCGATGGCTATGAAGTAAATGCTATTTTTCCTTGGCTTTTCCATTTAAAATATTTTTTACTTGCCTTACAAATATTAAAAAATAGTTTGCAAAGTGCACCGATTTCAAATCGTACGATTTGCAGCATACACCTGATTACTTTGTTTTAAAGTGGTTTTATTTTATAGATAAAATAACAATGTCTTGCCCTTTATTAATTCTAGTTGCCTATAAGTCGTTCTCTTCATACATAAACTCATAAAACTGCATCAAAATATTTAAAAAAAAAACTACTGCCTAGTAAAGAAAGATAACGTCGCGTTCAATATCCGTCATTTAGTTGATCGAAAAAGCATCTCGCCACTCTCATTCAAATCGAAATTATACCAGTCTACTTTACCTTGAAATAAAATCCCGATATATGTCCTACCAAGCCTTTCCACTCCTTTCTGTTGTCATAATGTTGAAAATGGTGGGCTCATAATGAAATTTGGCACCGCGTCGTAAATCAGATACAAATAAAGCGATATTATCCGTCTTGCCAGCCAAAGAATGCCTCAGGTTGCTTTATGGAAGACAACTAAAAAAAAATAAAATTAAAAATTATGCAAGCGTCTCAAGAAGACGTAATTATTATTTTATCTCTAAGATATTACCCGTACCATGTGCAAAATGAGATATTAAATAAATATATATGTAAGTATGCATACATATAAAGATATATACAGTTGGACATATTTATAGCACCGCCATTTCAAAGTGATATTGTTTGCCACTTATATTTAATTATTTATTTTTAAGAATTTTCAGTTAAAATACAGTCCATTCTCTAACAAAACTGATATAAACCCAAGTTTAAAACTTTTTAAAACTTAAAATAAAAACACATAAATTTTCCATCAGATTTCAACCTTTTTTCTTAGGAGCGTTAGAATTTTTTTGAGTAAACAGTTTTAAAGATAATTCAATTTTAGTCTGATAATATGCAAGTTTCAAGTGACTAAAAATTACCATTGATATTTTAGATTTTTTTTTTGCACTTTCTTCCATATAACGAAAAAACACAATTTATTTTTATATGGAAGAAACCCGCAACACCTTCGCCGAAAAAAAATCTAAAAAATTAACGGAAATTTTTAGCCGCTTGAAACTTGGGCATTATGAGACTACAAGTAATTTTTTAGCAAAAAACCAAACCGACTTCAATTCGCATAAAAAAATTTAAGATTATCGTTAATTTCTTCACGATCCAATTATCGGATCTAAACAAAATTAGTATGGGTCCACCCTTGAGGTACCACCTTTCTGATAAAAAAAAAGAACGTGGTCCGGTAACATACATAAACAAAAACAATTTTAACGAACTGCTAACCTCCTCCTATTTTGTAGTCGGTTAAAAATTTAATGGGCTATATAAAACTGTGTACACAAAAAAAATCTAACACTGGTGAGAAAAAAAATTTAAATTTGGGTGAAAATTTGTTGCATTTTTTGTAGTTTTCTTCAAAGTTGTAAACTGGGGTTTATATGGGTTTGTGAGAGAATGACCTGTATTTTAATTGAAAATTCTTAAAAATAAAGAAATAAACATGAGTGGCAAACAGTATTACTTTGAAATAAGGAAGCTACTGTATTTTACAGCACTGTATGTACAAAAATACATGTGAAAAAGTAAAGTCGGTATTTTTATGCTCTCAACCCCCAGAATTGTTCTATACCGAAAAAAATATACCACTATTTTTTTATTTTGAAATCAGAAAATATTTAGAGGCCAGTCAAAGAGCTCAAAGTTTTCCATTTATTTTATAACGAAAAAGACACACTTTTCGTAGAAACGGCACAGAATTCTTGAAAACAATATTTTTTAACGAGAAACTGTTTCTCTTCAGGAAATTCCCAATAATAATACCTAAGTTTCTATTTGACCATTTTTTTATAGAAACAGTATATTTTATAGGTCCGCGAAAACCCCCAGAAAATGCATGAAAATGCAGTGGGGGAGAAATAAAAAATCTTTACTATTAAAACATGATTAAATAAACAATAGGATAATGTTACTGGAAGTCTTCTGAAGAGAATCAGAGTTTTCCGATGGAAAAATATTGAGTTTCAAGAATTCCATACCATTTCTACGTAAAGTGGTATTTTTACCTCCCTTTTATTAGCTCGGGATGTAACTATGTAATATTGATGCGCCTAAAAGATGCAGCGATTTCTATTCTCAAGTTTCATACCTGATGACAGTACGTCTCATATAAAATACATGGAAAACTTTGAACGCCTTGAGCGACCTATAAATATTTTTTGATTTGAAGATATAAAATAGGGGTATATTTTATTTGGTATAAAACAATCGTAAGGGGTAGAGCATTCAATTTCCTACTTTACTTATTTTTGACCACCCTAATGTACATACATATGTCAGCGAGAGGGAGTAACGTGTGAACTGTCGCCGAGTGAGCGGACGGCTCTGAATAGTTTTCATCAGTCATATTAACACTTAAACTACATTGGTCCAATTTCATTGTAAATGTAACATCAACTTTAATTTGCTTATTTTAAATAAAACACACAAGTCATCAGTTACACATAGTTCTTTGAAGTTTTGCTCCAGCGGCTCACGATTAATCTATAAAAGAAAAAGAAAGTAGGCTAACGATAATAATAAATAATTTCAGTTCTAACCCATAGTACAATCAAGGTTAGCAACATAGGCGTTTCTTTTGCACACACAATTCAAATTGTTTGCCGTAACTCTAAAAAGTTCAGAATATATGAGTCCGAAAGGAGTCCTAGCTGGGTAAGAAATATGAGTATCAAAAACAAATTTTGTTTTACTCTTATATGAATCTTTTAGGAGTCATATATGATCCAAGTTATGAGCCAGTATAAAAATAATAACAACTCGAAATTTATATCTAAACTTGTTTATACAGATACGAAAAATAATTAGGAAGGATAAAATAAAAAAAAATTTGCTGCAGCAGCGGCTATTACATGAATGTTGCTTTATACATACTATATATGTATGCGCAGAGGTTTGTATATATGCAACAGTATTGCAAATATGGCTCTAAAGTATGTTCAATAAGAGTCGAAAAATAAGGTCAATAAGACTCATAGAACAGCATTAAACAAGACTCCGAAAGTAGGCATTTATGAGGCCAATAAGTCATTAAAGAGCCTCAACAAATCCAAAATGAGCCGTATATGAGGCCAATAAGAGACTAATATGACTCATATTGAGGCTCATTTGATGTATGAATTTAAGCTCATATAGGTCGACCTTCGCAGGAAGGGAAGTGTACTCCTTAAACGATCATTTATGACTCCAAATGTTTGCTGGGTTATTACAAGTTGTATTGCTAGAAAAAATTTAGATATACACATACATACATATATTCCCGATATCGTGCTAACATCAGCTTCTTCCAGAGCTTCTCTATATATTATTTTCTTAAAATGTCTCGATACGAAAACCATTTCCATTTTTGTTGGCTTATTATTTTCAATAGTTTGCCTTCCACCGAAGTGATACCTATGTGTATATTGACAGAAGATTTGGGCTGTGGCATAATCCAGTCAGGCTCTGATACACTTTGATTTTAAACTGTTTTGGGGTATGCTTTGCCCGGAAATATAAATGGGCCGTTCCGGTAACGTCTGCTTTGGATCAAAAAGGCCGGAATTACTTTAATAGATTACTAATTATATTAACCGATTATGTTTGGCCTGCGAATATAAACATATTTTTTTTATTTCTATACAGAATAAACACAATTTTATAAAATTACTGCTACTTCCCTTCAACCCCAAACGATGCATCCTCCTTGCTGATATGTGCTTTGTTTGACCTGTCTTCATTGCAACTTGCATTCTCCATTTCAGTGCTAAGTATCACTTGATTGTAAATAAAAAATTCGCTAACATTTACACAAATTCCAGCAATGTGGTTATAAAAGCTTGTAAAGGCAGAGAAATTTAAATCAAATATAAAACTAATCCTTTACTTTAGTAACCTTCTTTTGTTTACCCGAAATGTCAGAAACAGCTGAAACTCTCAGAGCTGTATTTTTGAGGAAGAGAAAAATAACCCACACACCGGTTAACCTGGACATTACACGATCAACAATTATCTATCAAGTTGCAAGACATGACGAGTATGGGCACAATGGAACGTGTCGGTAATGCAGTGATTATGAACAATTTAGGACCGGTTGTTCAATGTCCGATTAGCACAAATCGGAGGTAGAAGCTCTGATTAAATACAACGACTGCTTTATCGATCACATGTTACATGCATGATGTCGAAATCGTCGATAGTGTAGTGGTAGTGATAACCAGACATTGAACAACCGGTCCTTAAATTTTTTCCGAGCATACTTTTCAACCGAAATTGAACTGTGAGATATAAAAGGGCGATTAAGCGGACAATTATTTTTGTTTAGAAGTTTTAAGTAATTTTTATCTATTCTATGGCACAAAAAAGAAAATGTTCAGAAAAATTACAGTATAAATATCATTGATTTTGGTAAAAGTAGAGTATAGGGCCCGACGAGCTAGAAAAAGAGAAAAAGTGGGCGTGGCTCGCCCCTTATTCTTGATTTTGATGGTACGAATTTTGTTTCGCTGCAAATTAAAAGGGCGGTGCAAGGGATGGTTAAAGTGAAATTTTCAGTAAAATGAGCAAGTGGCCTGGCAGTCTGGCAAAAGAGTAGATCAGCTCAGGCAACGAGCCGGTTCTACGTGCCGGAATGACTCGGGTTTCACCCGACCAAGGGCTGTTGTTTCGGCGATCTAACCCCGTTTAGGTCGGCGAAGTATCTCAGAAGTTGTCCGTCCATAGGGCAACATTCACTACGCATTCTCCTACTCAGGGCTGGCATCGAGTCAAACCCTGGGCCAGAAATATACACCTGCTGTGTATGCCGAAGACGTTTACACCACAACTCCACCTCAGTCAAGTGTAATGCCTGCGAGGGGTGGAGTCACCTCAGTAAATTCATTTGGCATAGCGTCGGAGAACTCGCAGATTCCATTGCTTGAGAGTTGTCACATAAGGTATTTTGCTAAAAATATCTTTCTATTGTGTCTTATTTTTAAGAGTGCTGTCAGAATTTTGCATTTGCAAATTCCTCGAGTCGCTGCTGTTTGCGCGAAAATATGGAGGAAATCATATAATTCTCATTAATCCCCTCACCGACAATAGTGCCAACCTTCGGAGTTTATTCAAACGTGAAACGACAGTTTTTTGCATGGAGGCTTAAATTATTATCGGACGGACTATAGTTCGGAATAGCCATTAGGTTATTTTGGAGTTAAGATCCCGTGTTCGACCAAAAAGTCGTCGGCAGGTCCATAATAAATATTTCGATGACAAAAAAACCAAAGATCATATCAAATAAAAAATGTTTTATTTTTCATTATAAATAATTATCACTTTATTCATATATAATTCTTTAGTTTCTTTATTTATACTTTAATTTAATCTGTTAAACTCGGAAAAAAAGTCAATTTTCTTGTACATAAATACAGTTAATCAAGCTTATTAATACATATACATTAAATACCGATAATTAAACAGCTATATATTAGTTTTGTGTTTTATATACATATAGTATGTACAACAAAGCTTTTTCAACATATTTTTTTCACCATTGCTCACGAGTTTTAGCAAAAAATTTATGTACATTTATGTACATACATACATGTGTTACTTAATATCAAAAAAAAAATACAAAAACAAATTATTTGGCTTGACAATTATGCAGTATTAGTTAATAAAATCAGCTTTTTAAAGAAATAAATTTCGCAATTGAAATCGCAGGCCACTTACTGGTTAGCTTATGCACTTATGTATGCTCTAGATATAGTACATATATAAAAGACAAAAACGTGTTAGTAAAACTTGCAACATATGTACTTAATTTAAAAACTATGAGAGCAAAAGTTAGTAAGCCTATAGAAAATTAACTAAGTTTTTAAAAACTATAAAAATTAGTTTAAGTAAACTAACTTAAGTAAAATTGAAAATTTCTATGTACACTAGCAAGTAAAAACACCATGCACTTTTTATGAGATCTATTAAAAACAGAAATAATTTTAATTAAAGAACAAACTGCACTAGGGGCCAGCAGCTAATCAAAAGTGACAAATTAAATTCTGAAATTGAAAAATATCGGATAAAAAGACTCAATATTTCAAATATCGATACCAAATTCAAAAAATTAAATCCGAATATTGGTCTCATTTTCTAATGAAATAGGAACACTTTGCTTTTTTATAAGTGTGTCAATTGACTTCACCGAAGGCGCTGGTTGAAATCCCGCAACATGCCAACTTATAATAGTACACATTTGTGATCTTCTGTATTTTATGAATTTCTTTTCAAAATTGTAGCCTAATTTATTTCCTGAGGAGCTTTTGATTGCCTAAATATTTTTTAATGATAAATAAAAGGAAAAAATGGGCAGGTATGTAATTATACACTGTGATTGTTGGTAAAAAGAATTCAAAAAATAAACGCCATTTTTTATGAATGAAAATTGTTAAATGAAACAAAAAACGGCAAAAGACCGGCGGAAAAAAAAATAAATAAATCAACGGGCACGTGGTTGGTTTTACTAAAACTCCATCGGCTATAAAACTCCATACCTTAAATTTTTGTAAAAATTCAGAGTAAAAAGTTCAAAATTTAGGCGAAAATTGTTTAAATCCTTGATTCTTTATGGTTTTAGTAAAAGCGCAAACAATATTCTTATACAAAAAATACCAAAAAATTGTATACGATAAATTAAATACGATATCCTTATTTAAATAAAAAGTTCTAGAACAAAAATTTAGTTCTTATTAAAATAACTAAAAAAAGTTTGGTAGATCTTTTCTTGATTTTATAGATTTTTTTTTAAAGTGGATGGTAAGTATTTTTTTCGGCAGTGGCAACCCTGCCTGTAACGTCACGTCAGATACTTCGGCCGATAAAAAAATCGGGAAAGATTTTTACATTTTGGAACTTTGAAAATTAACCGTAAATATTTCAAATATTGCCACAAAAAATTTTATGAATATAAATAGTCTTGCCCAATTAAAATAGTTTTTAAATTTGGATGTTCTTAATTTTTTTTAACATTTTGTCATACAAATGTTACGGCCCGCCAGATTGGAAATGCCCATATGTACTTTCCTTTAAGCACATCAAAACGGACTTAATAAGACAAGAATTTTCATATACCTAATGTGCAATATATTATTAATCACATTCATTTTCAAATCTACATTTATGATTCGATACGATACAAAAGTACTGGTACTCGATTCCAAAAAAGTATTCTTTCAAAACTATCGGTATCGAATGGCAAAATTATCGGTATGGTATCGTATCGAAATTCGTGCCCCTAAATAGCTGATTTGATTTTTTTTTTTCAAATTATTTGGTCTCTAAAGTATCACACAATCTTATTATTTTTCACAAGAATACTAAGGGCGTGTGTGAATCGGTAACAAAGTTCTATGGGGAAAGCTGTTGAATAATATTTTTACTATGGTGAGACAGTTTTGCCAATCTGCTGTGTGAAATGAAATCTTTTTTGGCAGCAGTAAATTTTTGATAACCGCAGATTTATGCGGAATAAAATATTACAAATTGAAGTGAAATTAATATTCTAAGAAAACATCTTCCACAGTTGAGTGCAATTCATCAATTTAAGCTTTTATTTAACGAAAAATTACACACATCGACAATCTTTGCGATTGTCAAAATTTTCTATGCATTTGTCAAAAATTTCACTAGCCTCTTGAGCTACTGAAATTTTATTCACCTCATAGTTGTCAAAAATTTACTCGCCGCGAACTTTGTTACCGATTCACACACGCTCTAAATTACCAATATACATTTTCATGTTATTTCTTTGTTTTTTTTTTTTTTTGAAAAATTATAAGAAAATCCAAAAGCAAGGCCACCTAAAAGTAAAAGAATCAACATTGAAATGCTTTAAAATGTAAATAACGAAGCACGAATTTCGATGTGAAGCAAAACTCTCCGGGAAGACAATACCGTTAATAACTATATCATGAAATATCATCACAACTGCCGTCTGTATCAAATTGATTGGTCTCCCTGTGGGTACGAAATTCAAGTAAAGCTATGCTTTCTGGAGACAATTACTCTATAAAAAAGGACTGGCCAAGTTGCAGATCTACTAAATTTTTTGTTGTGTCGAAGTCTGTAATTTGTATAGCCATTAACTTTTTTTTATATTCGTCCGCCATTTAAGATCCACCATTTTAGATTTGCCGAAACTAACTTCAGATTTGAAATCAGCTTCCCTAAAAACACCTCGATAGAATATTACAGCGTAGCGCTTTAAAAACTTTTGTCTTTTTCGTCCTTTTACTTTGCTCCAAATCGAAGTACGAAGGGAAATACCGGAAACTTCAGTACATACGCAAGGTCGCATTTATGATTGAAGACTTAGGGCTAGTTTCGACGGCAATAGAAAGTTTCATTAAAATGTAACAATTATTTTTAAATCATCCGCCATATTGGGTCGGCAACTTTGAGTTTTCCAAATCTGACTTCAAACATACAGACAGCAAGCTCAAAAACCTATCGTAAGAAGTCTCATTAAAATCGATCAATGGCTTCATATTTTCGCCACTTTTGATGAGCGGCTGACCCGTAAACTAAGCTTAACAGAGTCAATTTGTTTTCCTTTGATAAATTGGCCTAAGCGATGGAGAAAGTTGCTCACGCTCCAGACGTAGTCGCTTAGATCTTCGCAAAACAGTTGAATTACCACATCGGGAAACGTTTTTTTCAGTCGATTTTAGATTTAGATTAGATAAAGAGAGCTGAAAGCGATCTCGAAACTTAAGTGCGGTTTTCTCCCCTACTAATGTACATTTTAATAAGAACTATTTGGTAAGAGAAATAACGGTTTGTTTTGAACAAAAGAATTGAACTAAGAATATTCGTTTTTTGTTTTGTTTTTTTTGTTTTTAAACAAACTTTTTTGTGACTCAGTCCGTTTTACTTACTTACTTATGTATTCATTAGAACTATGTATAACACTAAACAACAACACCGTACTGCGACCCAGCCAAATGGTCACAACGACGCGGCGCCGACGCAAATAACGCCCACAACAAGAGCACAACTTGTGCTTTACCACCTCAACGATCCCACGGATCGCACCAACCAGTAGCAAATGCTAATGCACAAAATCATTGGGTATATAGTGATGATGGGGATCCACAATGACGCTGGTATATTGTGGCGGCACACTGACGCCCTTCTCCACGGCGACCGCGAAGGAGCGTGCAATGTGCTCCTGCTGTTGTTGATCTGGTTGCTGTTGCTGGTCATGTTGCTGCAGCTGCTGCGCAACCAAAATATGTTGCTGTTGCGGCTGTAGTGGATGTATGGGTTGATGATCCATTTGCGCTGGCTGTTGCTGTTGCTGCTGCTGCTGCGTCTGTGACGGTGGTTGAGATTGAGCTGGCGCCTGTTGCAGTGGAGCGACGTGACTTGCAGCCAAAGCTTGCTGTTGCAGCTGGTGTTGTTGCGTGTGATGATGCGTATGCTGATGATGTTCCAGAAGCTGTAGGTGATGTTGCTGTGATTGCTGCTGTTGCGACGCGGCCGGCGCCACCATAACCGCCTGTTGATGCGAACTGCTGTCCGACAAATAATGCAATTCAAATGTATGACTCAACTCGCTGTACGTCGTCTGCGGTGAAGTGCCGTTCACTATCGACGCATTGCCCGTGGACATTTGTCGATCGCTCTCCGAACTGCTGGAGCAGCTGTTGGAATTCGCGGAGTACGGCCTGTTAAGTGCTGCTGTTGCTGACGCTGATGAAATATCTACCGCCGCATCATAGTAGTAATGTTCGCTGCCTGAGTTGTTATTATTGTTGACTGTGCTGGCAGTACCAGCGCCGTAGTACCCGCCGCCGCCGCCGGTGGTTGTGTCCGAGTATTGTATCTCATGACCGAGCGCGCTGCCCGAAGAAGAGCTGACGACGAGATCGTTGATCGGCGGGAAGAGCGGCGTATAGGTGAGGTTATCGTGTTGCGGCGGCACTTCGTGGGCATGGGCGTGCGCGTGCACATGCGGATGCGGATGTATGTGATGCATATGATGCGCATGCTGCATATGTAAATGTGGCTGTTCATGCGCGTGAAGATGCGGTTGATGATGATGCGGATGTGGATGCGTATGCTGCGCATGCATCAGATGTGCCGACATGTAGGCATTATTGTTGTTATTATTACTATTGCCGCCGCCGCCACCACCGCTGCTGCTGCTGCCGCCAGTTAGAACTGGTGTGAGCACATTGGGTGGTAGATGAACGCTAGCGCTCTCATAACAGGGATCCAGTTTAGGACTTACGCTGAGTGCGGCACAGCTGGGTGATGCGCCCGCCGCAAGGCCGTTGCTGAGCGACGGGTGTGTGACAGTGGCAGGCGCACGCGTCGTACGCAAAGATGGCGTCAACGCAGCCGAAGCGGTGATTGGCTCACTCTTAACCACACCCGTTTGGATTTCATTGAGAATCAAGTCTTTGGCCTCCTGCTCACTGCAAAGGTGGATGAAAAAGGTAAGAGAATAAAAAAAACACGGAATTAGTAGAGAAACAATGAATACAAAAGAAAATAACATCGGATATGTATGTATGTATGTGGGCATGTAAATAACTATGTATGTATGTGTATGTGCGGGTCTGCATGTAAGCAATTGCCGTTACACATACATACTTCTTTCGAAAACTCAACTAGGATCATAACAGACGTCCCAAATATGTAGATGTAAAGAATGTTGAAGTTAATACAGTTTTAAAGGATTTTCAAACATATAATAAGGTAAGGTGCATCTGCCCGGCTGGTTGATGCCCTCTTGAAGACAAAGGCGGACATCACCGCCATCCAAAAAATGGTATGAACGCAATAAGGTAAAAAATTCTTATCTCTCTCATTTGCGCCCACGTCCGACGACGAAGGCTTAGGCGTCCAAGGAGCTCTTCCATGAGTGCTTGGGGCGCACATACGAACGCTGCCTCCGTCACGATATCAAAATCGTTCTTGGTGATCTCATTGTCAAGGTGGGAAACGGAATAATCTTTTATTCCACCGTTTGACAATTCAACTTCCACTATGAAATGTCCGATAACGGACCGAAGTTTGATCGTCTTCGGCGGGGCCCGTAACAACAAGCTACGTGGCTACCTCCAGACTAAAAACGAAAAACGAAATCAGTCTTGTTGTGATAGGCAGAAGACACCCCTCCAGTGTTTCAAGACACGCTCTCAGTGTTTAAGACGTGCGTACGATCCGAGGGAAAAACATAGTAGGTTTGTTCCACACGAGCCCGCGGGTACCCACGGGTGCCCAAAGCAGCCCAGAAAGCGTTCCTCACGCTAGAAAAATGGGTAATAGAGAGCGAATACGTTCCACTTTTGGATCGTAAATATCTTCTTCTTTGTGCACGAAACAGCCCGGACTTTTTTTCCGGGCACAAATGTGCAAAAGGGCAACTTGAAATAACTGCTGTTGTTGTTTAAATCCGAAATCAAATTTTATAAAAACAAAAGTGCAAAATATCACAGAATTTTCAGAAAATGTAGTTATTTGGTAATTTTATTAGCCATATAAGATAAATACACGTAAAATCATTGTTTAGAGCTGACATGTTGATTCCGGGCACGAAATGTGGTTTTTTGCGTTCCTCACGCTCTGGGCACTTTTGGCACGTGTTGGCACATTTTTGACACTTGTGAGAGAGTAACTTATTTTTACTCTCTAATTACCGGAGCAGCCCGGAAAGCGCGGGGAACGAAGCTAGTATTCGACTACTATATGGATGCAGCCAAGATGCGCACCAGTCTGTGCAGCAAAAAATATCCATCCAACAACGCAAGGAAAGCTGCAATCACAACAGACTGCCAGCGTCTTCGACACTCGACTCTCATATCTGTTCGCTGAGAGCACCACGTTTCTGCTCATTACGTACCGCCGCCGGCGAAAGGGTTGGATTTCAGTGAGTCCGAAAGAACAGTTTGTACGTCATGCCGCTGTAGAGAAAAGATGCCGCATACTAGATAACAGTACGAATGGGAACAGCGCGGGCTTTAAGGAATCGAATAGGCCATAAGAAGAAGATAGAGGCCTAAGTACGTGAGTGCGAAGAGCTTGAAATGCTGAGCGGTATAGGAAAACCCCCGAAAATTCTATTAGAAAGTTAGGCGACTTACGACAGGTTTCAATACCAGGACGAATTTATGTAAGAACAAACTCGGAAACCTAGTAACCAATATCCTGAGTGCGCTTAAATTATGGAGGGAACGCCAATTTACAACTAAACTAGTATTTAATTCAGTTGTCTTTTCTAAAAGGGTTCCCAAGTAATCATAGCAAAGGCGATTTAGACGCGAAAAACAAATGTTGCCACGTCTTATTTTGTTCAAAGCAGATACTTGGAGACATATATGTAATACTCCTATATTGGCAGTAAGAGCTAGTACCGTCCGAAAACACTACAGTACAGATTATCAATAAACACGTACGAAAGAAAAGGAACACATAAACTGTCTCGCTTTGATTTCGGAATGCTTACACATTGAGAAGTTAGCTTACTGCCAATATAGAAGTATTACATATATGCTTGGATACCACGGTGGAGAGAATACAGAGGTGGCGCCGATGGCAATACCGCTAATCGGCTCTCAGTGAATTTGACAGAATCAGCTGTTTTGCTGACGTCAATACATTTAAGTATCCAATACTCTCGATACTCGGTACCGAAACATTTAGGTTTCGAATAAAAGCGCGCATAGGCCAAAAATATGGAATAAACGGTTCAGGGGAGACTCCCCTACNCTAATCGGCTCTCAGTGAATTTGACAGAATCAGCTGTTTTGCTGACGTCAATACATTTAAGTATCCAATACTCTCGATACTCGGTACCGAAACATTTAGGTTTCGAATAAAAGCGCGCATAGGCCAAAAATATGGAATAAACGGTTCAGGGGAGACTCCCCTACCAAAATCCGAATGTAGGAGCCAATAGAGCTTTTAATACTGATTCAAATGAAAGATGTATATATGTCGGTTCGAGGCCATAATACAGAGAAACTCTTACTTTTTTGAAGCATTTTTGTTCCAGCTGAATCGGACGATATCATTTTTGTAGGCAGATTCTGTAACCAGTTAGCGACAATTTTCGAATCGGTATCGGTTTTGTTGACGTATGATGTGAAATATTTTTACGTTAGCAAGTGCGATATCGATCCGATACTTGTCGCTAACTGGTTACAGAACCTCCCCAAATCACCGAAATCTTTTTAACTCTATATAATATTCGCGATTTCATAGCGCCCAAAATAATGGGAGTTGCGTCTTAAAATTTTGTTCAGATAAATACTTCTAGAATGAAAAAAACAACCGAGATTAGAAACAAAACTAAAGTTCTTAGATCACTGAAATAAATTCGCGGTCGAAAGGGTTAAAGTGACGATGGCTACCGCAAGAGTAAATCCCGGTTTCGTCATCTATTCTCTTACACGTAAGCCATTGTGAACAGTTAAGCTTCTATCGACAAATATGAGACCAGAACCGGTTTGTCAATAAACTTAATTTGACAAGGGATTGCTGAAAATCGTTATACAACACATCATAAGGCAAAACGTTGAAACGGAACAATAACAAATGTTAAATAACGGATTTTAAGGCGGTCAGTTCTAGATTAGAAATTTCAATTTGAGATCATGACACTCGATAAAGGAAGCGCTTTGTTAATTTAAATTTTAGAGAGAACAGAAAAGCGCTTGATATCTCCAAATTTAACGAAGTGACGCAATTTTCAAGTTAGAACTTCATACCAAGCTTGTTGTGGCTATCGCGGCTGTTACCAAAATATATAACTTAGGGTAGAACTCCACAAAAATCTTTCCAAACGTACACCGCCTTTCAGGCTTTCAGCACTTTATTTAGCTATAAGTTTTATATTCCGGCGTGAGCGCTGAAAGCCATAATGCCTAAAAGGTTTGGTGTGGAGTTCTACTTTTAAAGGCTCAACCAGCCATCGGCAGAGCACCCTTCCGTATCTGTCGTCCGTATCAACATATGAAATTGCTGTTGATAGAGAGAGAGAGAGAGATAAGATAAGTCGTGCCAGCTGACATGGTCTACGGTTTTACGTCGGTGAGCTATTATAAGGCCCGTCTACATACAACTTTGGCGTTGGCGTTGGCGTTGGCGTTGGCGTTGGCGTTGGCGTTGGCGTCGCTTCATCCGCTGGTGTGTTAATTTAGTTGTCAAAGTATTCGTTGCCAAGCATTTGTTGTAGCAAGCACTGACGTTGCTAGCGCTACTGCCGAACCGACTCCAACGCCAACGTAACGCCAAAATTGTACGCGGAGTGGCCAGCTGACAGCTGAATAGTGCGCTGAAGCCTGAAAAGCGGTGTAAAGCCTTTTGTGGAGTTGTACTCTAACAGCGTGGCCGCTCTTATGAAAACTATGTATTCGCTTAAAAAAGCATACTGAACAGAAAGCAAAAATAACCGTCTAATCCAAGCAATCCTATTAAAACACTTCACCGTGGCCAATGTTATTCCAACACCAACGTTTCCTAATCCGCCCGTTATTGGTTGGTCTTACTGGTATTACTTAACACTATTTCCGCAACATATACAACAACAACAACATTCATTGCTTTCCCCATTGAACTCACCTAAGGACATAATTTACACTGACAATACAGTGTGTGCGCGATGAGCGTGTATTGTGCACCACTGTCGCATACGATTGTACCCAGACCCAGCCGCCACCCTTTGTCAGGAAGCGATAGTATTTGGTGGTGACTTGTCCCTTGTATATCACTGCAACATTGAGAAGACAAAAAAGAAGAAAAAAAACAACAATTGAAATGCAATGCAAATTAGTTGGAAAAACAAAAGCGTATTGTTGAAAAATAAATAAATAAATATTGTATGTACTCGTAATGCTTTAGAAATGAAATGAAGGGATTTTAAAATAATTTGCAGAGCATTAAACGATTCTTCATGATTGAAGTCTTTTTTGCTTTTACTTTTGTTTTAAATTAAAATAAGCCACTGCCGCAGTGACACACGCCAACCGATACTTACGAATATTGTGGGCACAGCTCATTGGTCCTATGTCCGCAACGTGTATGTATTGGTAGAGTGTTTTTTCTATGAGATCTTGTGGCTCGTAGCCAGTCAGTTGAGATACCCTGCAAAATGGGAAGCAATAAATAATTGCATTATTATAAATTTTATATTTCTTATAAAATTACTTATAACGTGTATTAAATAATGGCGCTTCTAACTCAGCCGCGTCTTGTTTGGCCTGGGCCAATAAAAAAAAAACAATAGCACTTAGACCTGCAATAAATTTTTATAAACTTCACGATCGATTCAAAAAGCTATGTTTTAAATGTAGTTTTCATCAGCTTTTTAATGTCCTCTTACTTGACCAAGTCCGTTCTTGCTTTACCAAGACAAGTTAGGTTAGGTTGGATGTATACCTTCCGACATACATACATACATATAAGCCCATTTTGATAACAAATCGAGTTGTCATTCTCTTATTCGTATTTTTTTCGAAGACCGGTTCTCCATTTTCAAATGATTAAAAAACCGGATAAAACGGTTTAATGTAGCACATCGGAAAGTGGCTTAAAAATTGAATGCAATATTTGATTACACACAGGTGAAACTTAATAAGTTGGCTCTCCGATCTTAACAAAATTGGATCGCTAAAAACTCGAGCATGTAGAACCAACTATCTTGGGAATGAGAATGCACCATCCGCTGAATCAGACGGACTATACAAATATAGTGTATTATGGACAGGCCATTTATCGAGAATCGATGAGCACCTTCGTCAACTCGCAACCTTTGAATTCCATCACCGGAGACCAAATCGAACGAAGAGCTTGAAAAGATTCGTGAGTGTCGCGAGACTTTGAGACAACTCCATTCGGGATATTCCAGCAGTTCAATTTGAATAAAATGGTCCGACGACCAGCTCATCTAGCATTCCTCTTCATACGGCCCAAACCCTTCGAATCGGGTCTGTCTCTGAGCCTACCGTTAGATGAGAATGAAGACAACATGTAATCAATAAACTTATTTAGCTACAACAAAAAAAAAAACTTATTCTGGACAATTACGAGGGGTGATCTAAATTAAGTCCAGTCAGAGGCATAATCACTGAAAACTTCGAGCCATCTCAATATAAATTTGAAGGGTAACAAAACCCGCCAAAAGAATTTCTATGCCGCGCAAAAACACAATCAAACGATTAGAAAGTACTATACAGCAGAGTTGATAAGAAAAGCCACCATTGTTATTTTTTACAGGCAATATGTAAAACATCATCATGAATGTAATTGAGTGTCGGTAATAACCAGACAAAAGCGACTGGTAGCGACTGTTTGCCCAAATCCCCAACTGCCACCTACCACTTTCCTGTTTATTCAACCACGATTTCCTTGCTGCACTCATAACAACCAGTCCGTGCATCTACACACATACATACATACATGTGCATTTAGATGGGGGTTTGCTACATGAAAATCGGAATCATCATCCTCGGTCCATCCATTCACACAACAACAACATTGTTGCAGCACTTAGTTAAGAGGGAAATGGTTTGTTTTGCCGTTTTGTTTGCTCAGACAAAGTGGGTGGATGGAATGGCAAGTGGTTGATAGCATGTCAGTGTTTTTTGTTGTGTTTTTTTTTTTTTTTTAGTCCTGAATAAAAGTATCTAAATACATACTCCCGTGTCATATTCTTTGATTTTTTATCCATTTTCAACGCTGACACAATGGAGAGTGCTGCTATCTATTAAATATTTGTTTGGTATTAAATTTCCAGTATGAATATGCTTCGTTTAATTTTTAATATTTGAGAAGCTAATGAAATTTTTAAAATAAATTAATTGTATATTTATTTGCATTTACTTTCTGTAACTTAATATTTTATTAAAATTGTTTTCTATTTTCAATGCTAAAAAATTGATGAGTTAGAATAATTAAAAAGTACATATGTATCCCTTAAAATAGTTTTGCCTGATACTTGGAGGGAAATAAATATGTATGTATATGTATTTTGTGGTCCCTTTTATACTAATAAACGATGTAAGTAATGTAGATATTAAAACAAAACCACCTCTAAAGCCCTTCAGTTTGGAGGAAACAGATCCTAGTACACCATTCGAACTCAATAAAATTAATAATGCTCTTCTCTTTTCACAAGTTTTTGATTGAAATAAATATGCAAAGGGTTTTGCTTTCTATTTACTTAAGAAGAAAGGAACTTTGGGTAATTGAGTTCTGTCCTGTGCCTGGCATGTGGTACGCCAAGACATCGCACACAGATTAAGGAGTTCGTTCCACTGGGTTCATACTAAACGGTGTTTCGTTTGCCTCCTACGCATACTGTTATGCGCTTCATCTTCCAGATGGTCCTCCGGCAGAAGGAAGCTTATAAAGCAGATGCAGGCAAAGCTATAAGCGAACCTGCTATGAGAACAAATTCTCTATCAATATCGCTTAAACGAGTGAAGATATGTATGTACGTTATCTTTTTTTAGCTTTCGAAAACGTTCTCATTAAAAATAAGGCTACACCTTTGTGAATACACAGGGTGGCTTTGATAATGCTGACTTAGAAAGAATGTGCAAAGCTGTTGTGCAAACAATCTGTCAGTGCCTTAATCCAGAAGATGAACGGAGTTGCTGACTATGCATTTTCGGAGGCGAAAAAGGATTATCCTCGCAGGCCCGGAGACTTTCTCGTGGGCATCATAAATCGGACTGACGTTTACTGCCAGACTTACGCCGATTAATAATAATAATAATAGATTGGCGCTTACACATTTGTTAGGGTTTGGCCGAGATTCTCCTTCGATTTGTGGCGTGCGCCTTGATGTTGCCACGTAAAGCGGATGAACCTACAGTTTTACGCCGACTCCGAACGGCGATTGTATTTTTGTAAGAAGCTGTTTTTCATGGCAGAAATACACTCGGAGCTTTGTCATTGCCTGCCGAGGGGCGACCGCTGTTAAGAAAATACCTTTTTCTATATTTTTTTGCGATGTTTCTTTATCTAGGGCTTGAACCCAGGTCCTGCGGAGTGGAAGCGCGCACCTAACCACTACACCACAGCTGAAGCCGATTACTTAACACTTAATTAGAAAACTAGAAAATTAGGAACTGACTATGGATACTTGGTATTTTGAGCTTTGAGCCCATTAGGTTAATTGAGGGGGTGGAGATTATTTTTATTGGGTTAACAGTATCTATTGTGTTCACGAGTGCCGTTATAGCCACGACGCATTGAGGGCTCCTCCCAACACTTTTATTTATTATATAACGTTATTGTATTCTGTACAAGTGCGTATTAGTGAGCAAGCCGGCTGACAAACATTATAAGCAAAACTTATAAGGTCTGCAAATCCTCAGCATTTATAAGTTCTTTCTCGGGACCGTAGTTTAGGTTTGCCAATTGCCAACGTCTGTCCCTCCAGGGTGAAGGCGCTACTATACACCTTATCAGCTTACGTCTGGTGCTGCCTAGGCTCAGGTAGATACTGCACACTGATTTGGTGGAAACTAGTACCATTAGTTCTCCGCCACCCTGGAAACCTTCATTTTTCCAAAAAGTTTGAAGGATTGGTTAAATTTGGGTCCTACATAAATGAAGCTTACATCTACCTAACTAACATCAGATTAGGTTATGCTGGCTCAACATTAAGGGCTGGTTTCTCCAACTCAAATTAGTTTAGCCAATTTTTTACACTTAGACAAGAATTAGCTAGTTAAAAAGTATGCTAACTTTTGACTTAAGTCCAAAAAATGGCTAAACTAAGTTAAGTTGAGTTGGAGAAACCAGCCCTAAAGGTCTCACAGAGACGAATATAGCTTCCATAGCGTTCCCTGTTAGCAATCCTATCAGAAGCCTCGAGTCCGTCCTTTGTGTTGATATTGGGAAATCAGTACGTTCCCTATCATAAGAATTAAACATAATTTTTGAAAGAGTGCAACTCCGTGTCCTGCCCGCGTGCAGGTTAATGAGCAGATCTTGTGATCTTTTGATTAGTGAGTCATTAGTTAGGCATCTAAGAGGACGCCCGCCTTCGCTAGCTTGTCAGCTCTCTTACTACCTTCCACAGTCCAGTGTTCTGGAAGCCAATATAGCTCGACGGCTTTAGTCACAGCTAGGGTGACCAGACGAGTCAAAGGACAAATCGGGACAGAGGAGAAAGTCCCCAAGTGCAGCCGAACACCTTCTTGCCTGCCAGAAATATTTGTTAGTCACTCACCTTGCATCCAAAAATATCAGCTTCAAGTCCATGCATGCACGAAACATGAACATATTTGTATGCAGTTTAATTTCCGTTATCGCAGATGAAGGCAGGGAGTGACCAACAGCAACAAGGCCCAGATTTTGTATACAACCACCATGACCATCGCCATAATCAGGAAATATGCGCGCTTTCAAGTACCCCGAACAGTGAATGACCTAAGAGAGAGAGAGAGAGAAATTTTATAAATGAGAATTTTAAGAGACCAACGAATATATCTCCTTTCAACGCACACACCTTATAACCGGACGTTGTGAGGCCAGCATTACGTTTCGCCAGCACGCATTTCATGCGCAGGAAGAAGGATTTTTGTATTTCGATCGTATGCGAACCACGATCACTGCCATAGCTGCCATTCGGACTGCCAATGACATTCGCATTGCCGGTGGGTGGATTGCCGCTCTGTGTTAGATGTAATGAGTTAATAAATGCATCCTATACATTGAAAGAGAAGTTAAAAAATTACGTCGACAAATTATGTCCACAAACACAAACGCAAACTGTGCTATGGCATTCATTGTACAACTTACCGGATTTTGATACATGTAAGGATGCAGCGAGAGAATCGCATTCATTTCCTCCTGATCGTGCGTGTGGATATATTCAAATATCGAATTGCCAGTAAGTTCAACCTGTGATGAGTGAAGAAGGAAAAGAACGACACAGAAGATTTGAAATTTTCTTTAAAAAAGATTTATTTTTTTTGTCGTAAAAAAAGATAATTATTAACTCTTATCTTTGGGAATTTGTGCTAACAGCAAAATGTGCAATTTGTATTCATATTTTGAGTGGTGCACAGATGCGAGTTCATAGGTATGCAAATTCATTCAAACTGTAAAGGAACATCTTCAGTGGTGTACATTTGCATATTCTGAAGCACAAAAAAAGCAAAATGATGCGCATAAATAAGAAAGCGGCAAAGTGTTTGACTAGTCTCTTCAGCGCACAGTGGATACAACTTATAATATTTCTAGTCAAAAATAAAAAAAATAATTATGGAAATTAAAATTTGTATCAAAAACGAAGTGGTCGTCGGTTTTTTATTATAAACGATCGAGATGACGATAACAGTAATAAAAAACGACAGTACCATGTTACGAACTGCGAAATCGCTATTAAGCGGCCATTATTGGAAAATATCAAATAAATTACGAGCAAATGCAATCTCTGTAAAAGTCCTAAAGCACAATTTTTAATTTCAACCAAACTTCAGTCCGTTTAAAGCAGCGAAGGGCAGCGAGAAGCTTTTTAAAGCTTGCTGTAGATTGTGAACGGGCACGTACATGGTAAACGCTCTCTCCGGCGATCGTTTGGCAGTATAAAAAGGGTGATGGGCGCTGCCTTGCCCGCGGGAATATCTCTCTTAAGCCTTCTATACATTTTGTATAGGCACATGCAGAATAAAAGCTCTCTCTGCTGATATAAAACGTAGAGTAGTCTAGAAAAGCTTTTCACGCGAGCAAGGCGATGGACAGAGAGTAACGGAGTAACCCCACGTTTTTATGAAAAATGTAGAAATACCTTAAGAAAGCTCTGTACGATGGTGCCCATCACCGTTTTAAGCTAATACTTTAATGTTTAAGGCATGCTTTCTAAACTTTCAAAAGCTCTTCGTACAATTTCCATCATACTATAGCTAGCACTAGTTAGTTTAAAAAGCAGGCCCGCGGGAAAAGCTCTTTTAAGTTTTCTATATTAAGTGAATGTATTCAAAGCTCGAAAAAGCTTTGCCCGCGGGCAGCCCGTGCCCACCACTGATTTAAATCAATTGATCGACCCTTTTACATTCGATTTGATAAGCTTCATTTGATTACACTCACCTGACTTAGACCCAATTGCACGGATGCCGTTTCCGAAATGTACATAATTTTGCCATCCGGCGCCACAACGAATATGAAACCGTCCAATGTCTGCAGCAAATGTGAGCCAAGCTCTTTAATAGAACCGCGTTGCATTGCCGGTGAAGTACCCCACGCCTCGCCCAGACCTACAAGGCAAAAATGGAAAGAAAGTAGAAGAGAATAAATTGGTGATACTGAGAACAACAACAACAAAAAAAGCAATAGAAAAAGTCACATTTAATGAGTACAAAAAGGTGCGACGCAAAACGTATACCATGAACACAATATGTCAAATGTATGAGCGTCTCACCTCTAGCGGCGGCCGCATCATGCAAACCCCCTTACACCTCCCAAACCCCCCCTCTGGTCTTGCAGTTTAACAACCCATGATGACGTATAAATATTATTCCCAATTAAAGTCATCAGCACAGTGGGATACTTGTAGGTCTTTTGTGTCACAATTCAACGGGTGTTCTGGGCGAGCGACCGAGCGACAGAGCGGCGTTGCGGTGACAGCTACCAACAGTGTACAATGGGCTGTGGATACTAAGCTTTCAGCCACCCACCGGCACCTCGAAGGTAGTGTGTGAGCCTGTGCTTGCCGGCTGGTTCTCACAGAAATAACAATGCACAGTTATCAAGGCGAGTCGAGCCAGAGTAGCGTCACACAAACGCAAATACAAGTACACGCAAACATACAACGTTTGTTTAAGTGTGCACGCAAGTGCAGAGAGGGTGGCAGAAAAGTAAATTTAAGAAGGTGGAAAAACAAAAGTGTTATGTCCTGTTTTTTACAACGCCGTTGTTGTTGTCTTCAATGGTTGTTCCGTTCTTACTGTAGTGTATTTTTTTTATATTTTTTTTTTATTTTTTATGTTTTTTTTTTTGTACTTCCTCTTGCGAGTATTTGCTTGTTTCGCTTGATTTGAGTTACTTTTCTGCTTTGTGATTTTTATTGTAATACTCGTTTTTCTTTTACTTTTATTTTTTTTTTCAAGCATTATTGAAATAATTATTGCAATAAAAAAGGCACAAAGAATATTAAAAGAAAAAAAAAAACCGAAAAGGAAGCTTCTTCAAGTGGCACATATACCCTAACGGGCTTTAGTTCCGCCCCAATGCTTAGTATTCGTATTGGGGTCGTTGAGGGTGGTTGGAGGAAAAAGTGTTGCAAATGTGTTACATATGTTTGGAGGTCTGTTTGGATGAATGTGTTTTATATATTCGTAGACTTAAGCTCAGCAAAATTTTCCCCTATACAATGTGCACTCGATGTTTACGTGTGTGTGTGTGTGTGTGTGTGTGTTTATATGGGCGTGTATGCCATTGAGGACATATTCTCACGTCATTGTTCTCTTTTGTTCGGAAACTACATAGCTCGTTTTTGTTTTTGTATTTGATTTTGTACCGAAGACTTAAATTTAATAATTCATGCGGTGAATAAAGGATTTTGGTGAAAAAGTGGCGGCCAAGTGTATTATTGGTATCGATTTACTTAGATAGACTTCTAAACAGAAGTTTTGAGGCGAACATGAGCATTAGAAATAAAAATTTTGCTAAAAATTATATGTGTTTCTTATAATTTTGAAAAGTATTAAACACTTTCTGCAGATTTTTTATATTTGTGCAGTCAAACCAAGGAGTCCGCTTTGTAAAGCTTTCTATAAATTTGATATGGGCGCACACAGAGTAAAAGCGAGGAAAGTAAAAAGTAAGGAAATCAATACTTACGAAACTCTACATTTATATATATGTACATATGTATGTATGCATATAGACTTCTAAGCACAATCACAAATGCCTCTCCAACTAACCAAAACTTCCGCTAAATTTCCTTTTGTGAAATTGTTTTCCCATTCAATTCTAACATATCCATTGCGACTTTTGCACTTCTAAAAAAGTGATGTCCTGCTGCGCTGTATCATAATTACAAACATACACACACATGTACTCACAAACAAGCATGTGTTATATCACACTCCAACGACTATCGCCTGCACCACACCCCTCAACTTTTACACTTCATTTAGCATAGCCGGCAGGAATTTATCCGCTTGTGGCGGCCCGCGGACATACTCATACTCGTACCACTCTGCGTCGGCCGACGTTCGCCACCCGTGTCACCCACCTATGATCAGGACGTGTGTCGCTGTCAAACGGTCAGTCAAAGTTACGAATGCTACCTACAAAGCGAAATGCCATTGAGCTCGCTCTGAATTCTTTTATTATTTTTTGTTTTGTTTTGTTTTTTTTTCGGTGGCATATAATAGTCGCGCGCCAATTGTTCCAATTATAGTTTAATGAAAACAACAACACACTTCCGATTGTTATTTGAAGCAAAACAAAATAATATTTAATGATGGTTAGCGAACAAATAAAGAGGCACACAGTTTCTTTGTGCGAATTTAATTGAGGGTTCAAAACAGATTGTGCAAATTAAAGGTATGTATGTATAAAATCGCAGTGACCTTGTATAAACGATTTTAAGCAGGCCTTGTATAGAACCACCTTATCTCTACAATTCCAGAGTAAATCGTTGTGGACGGCTTAGAACTTGTTAGTTAGCTAATAAAATTCTAAAAACCTTATTTTCAAAACATCATTCATAGACTTTTAGTTTAAGTAAATGCAATTAACTGCAGACGTCCGCCATAGCCTTTTGATTAGTGGTATTACCTTTAGGCCCAGAGTTAAGCCATGGTCCGAGCAACATCTACTACGCAAAATATGTATATTTAGCCACACTTACTTTTTAAGTTCAATTTTCTAACCTTTAAATTTTATTGTTTTAAAAAGAAAAATATGTATTTTTTTTTTAATTTCATTTAGTTTTGAGAAACTTATTTTATTTTTTTTATGTAATTTTTTATTGCTTAGTTTAATTTTCTTTTAATGTTTAGATGTAATTGTTTAAAAAGGAGAATATTTTTTAAGTTCATTTAATTTCTAGGAACTTATTTAATGTTTTCTTTTTAAGTTAATTTTATCTTTTAAATTTCATTTTTAGATTTTATAGTTTAAAAAAGAAAAATATTATTTTTTAATATCATTTAATTTTTACAATGTTTTATTTATTTTTTTCCAGTTTTTAATTTAATTAGTTCGTCTTTTCTTAATTTCGTTCTTTCGTCTTTTCTTAATTTCCCTTTCTTATACTTTTTCCGAGTATTTTATTATATTTTTTATCTTTTGTTTTAATTTTGTGTTCTTTGAATAGTTAGATTTTTTTTTAATATTTTATTTATTTAATAAATTCTTAAGTACTATTTTCTGCTTTTTTATTTATTTCTCTCCTTTTTCTGATTTAATTTTAATAATATTATGTTTCAAGATTTTTTAATTTCCATTTAAATTTTTAAAAATATGTTCACGTACTTCATTTTCATTTTATTCTTTTAATTTAATTTTCTTTTCTTTATTAGTTTTTATTGCTTTAAAAAGAAAAAGTTTTATATATACTTTATTTAATTTAATTTTTCAAAAAATTATTACTAAAATGCGAACAGAGTAACACTAAAACTTCCTCGTTAGCAGATCTTTTAATTAGTCTTTCGAAAGGCAGAAAGGAGCTCGTCTTACGCGAGCGTTTTGCCTTTCGAAAGACTGTGGTGAGTTGAAAGACAGTTGCCAAAGTTTACCTATTAAACTTTGGTTTTCTGTCTGCGAACTGTCTATTAAATTCACTAAGATGAAACTTATCCTATTTTCTAGGAAGCGTGTATTATTGCAATTTCTACGTCCATTGTGTTTAGCAATTCAACATAATTTTGAATAGAAAGCTTTCTTGGCAATCGTAAAATATAGGAAATGTTAAGGGGCCATTGGTAATAAATGAACCCTATTACTCAAAATAATTGATTTGCTCTATGAGACCGTTACAGTCCATTCCATTCCTTATGTACTCGGCTAGATATATACTTCACCAAACCCCTCATTGGAACTGGCGATTTCTTCTTCACTAACATCCCATCAAAAGATAAACGCTAGACTTAGTGTTGCCGTTGAGAATTTTTATCGCAAGTCGCAGAAAAGGGGTCATTGACGAAAAAAAGGGTCACCATATCGAGACCTAACCGCCAAAAAAACCTATGCGATATTTTTTTTTTTTTTAATTTTCTTTTTGATGCAGAAATATTCCTAGAGCATCTAGAGGCAATTCTGCTTAAAAAAAAATTGGAAAAAAATGGTGTTTGCGTTATTTTGGCGGTTAGGACTCGATATTATTTCTAACCGACATCAAAAAAGGAGGTGGTTATCAATTCGTCGGAATATATATATTTTTTTATGTATGTTACCGCAAAGTATGCCCATTTCTATAATTTTATAATTTTTTAAAGGAAAGGTAATACCTCAGAGGTGGTCCCATACAAATTTGTTTTAGATCCGATAATTGAAACATAAAGAAATTAACGGTACTCTTAATTTTTCATATGAGAATTAAGGGGGTTTTGTTTTTTGCACAAAAATCGAGTTACCGTGTTAAAGTGAAAACTTATTGTGGAAAAGCGGAATAGCTGCGCTTGATTGTAGTTGGCTTAGCAAAGTGAAATAGTGGAAAATAAGCAACAAGAATTAACAAGACAAACTTAGCACAGTGCGTAGGCAACTGGCTGAGTCAGTGGTGATCGTCGGTTCGAATCCTACTGAAAGAAGTCTGATGAGGAAATGTGGTGATTTCCGAAATAGCTATCACTTCTACCATTTTTTCAAATTATTGTTGCTTTTCCACAATAAGTTTTCACTGAAAACGGCCTCGAGCTCATAAAAATTGTTGAATATAATTGTTATAAAGGCCATAAAAATAACAAAAACAAATAACTTAAGGACGAGCACACCTAAAAGTTAAACATTCTAAAAATAGAATTATTAGCAAAAACCAACAATACCAACAACCACATGATCAAGTGAATTGCAGCGGAATAGCTGCGCTTGATTGTGTTGGCATAACAAAAATGAAAATAGTGGAAAAAAGCAAACGATAATTTACAAGGCGTACTTAGCACGGTGCATAGGCAACTGGCTGAGTCAGTGGGATCGTCGGTTCGAATCCTACTGAAAGAAGTCTGATGAGGAAATGTGGTGATTTCCGAAGTAGCTATCACTTCTACCATTTTATCAAATTATTGTTGCTTTTCCACAATAAATTTTCTTTAAAAAGCGGCCTCGAGGTCAATAAAAATTGTTGAATATAATTGTTAAAAGGCCAAAAACTAATAAAAAACATACATACATAATTTTTAAATACGAACAGTGCGGATCCTATAATTTTGTAGACAGGTGGCAACCCGATAGGAATTTAAAGTACTAAAGAATATTATCTTCCTATCCTATCCTATCCTATCAATACAGATTATACTAAAAAAATCTCGTATAAATCAGTTCAGTAGTTTTTGAGATTAGCGTAGTCTAAATATCTCGACCTTCCTTTATACTATGAATAGAAGATAGTAATTTTTAAATTGGTGGCAACCCTATTCAAAAAATGAAAACTCTTGTACATGCCAAGGCCGTGCCCTTTCATTTGGTATCGCAATTTGTAATCCAACGAACGGCAAAACTTTTTAACTTTTTAACAGGTGGCAACCCTACTCAGAAAAATAATATATTATTGAACACGTAAAGGCTAAGTCTTTTCGTTTGAGAGTGACGCTGCAGTACTGATGCCTACGCTTATTATGATTGAATATAGTAATTTTATAAACAGATGGCAACCCTATTAAGAAAAATAAAACATTGATGCTTTTCTAGAGACCAATCCCTTTCATTTGACACCTCGTCTTTTGTAATCCAAAGGACGGTGCCAATCTTATAGTTTTTTAGACAGGTGGCAACCCTATTAAAATTCAGCAGTTTTCGAGATTAGCGCATAGAAAGAATCTCGACTTTTCTTTATACTATGTATAGATAGATATTTTATTCTTTAACAGCGTTATTGCTTATTCTTGAACAAGCACTGTATAAATGGCAATTATTTGTTGGTTAAGGTGTTGCTCCCTTTCTCCTATATAAATAATCGTGTCAATATGTGGTGCGCTTATAATTTTGACACGGAGTGTATTATGAGATTCCCCGCGTATTATAGCGCAAAGACTCAAATACTTTGTTCCCAAAGAAATTTCGCTATTTGAAATAAAATTTAATCTACATATGTATGTAGGTACCCCACACATTTCGTACAGCCACTCACCATCGGGAAAGACTTGACGCATTTTCAGATACGATGTTGTTAATCTTATGATGGATGCTTTGTCCAACTGTGATGTAATTGCACTTGGTAGTGGTAATAATTTGGCCAATTCGAAGAATTCTGCATTTTCCTTTTCACGTCTAGTGCGAGCGGCATTTTTACTCTTCTCCTTCATGGCACAAGATTTAGTTAAGCCTAAAAAGAAAGAAATTAAAACAAATTAATTTTTTGTGCAATTTTTTAACTGTACGTATATATGTATTTAAAAATTTTCGCCTCAACTAAATACTTTTCTTTTTTTTTTAATAAATAACTGCACGCACTTAATAAACTATGCCGATTTCGCTCCGCCAACACCTTTCTTTGGAATATCATCTTTGAATAAACACTTTAACTACACCGCACTCTCTTTTCCAATTGGCGAAGGTCGCTGCTTGCTCTAATACTTTTTCAACTATTTATTTCCGCATGAAAAACGTTCTTGACTGTTTAAAAACTATTTTGTAACTGTTTTGGATTAAGAAATGTGCAACATTTTTAAGAAATCTTCGCACACTTGCACTTCCATGAGCGGAAAGGCCCAAACAAGTGCAGTTACCTGATAGCCACTACGTCTACGATTGGCCACAAGCCAGCCAGCCGGGTGGGTACCTGTAAGGATTTTCCGCATACAAGCATTGCATTGCATTGTTTTTGGCAGCCAAATAAGTATTTGTACTTCTAATTCTTTTGCTAGTAAAGTCAAGCCAATTGACTTCTGTGCAACATAATGGTGCACATTATGTACATGTGCACATACATATATCCAATCCCAAGACAATCCAATTCAATTGCATTGACGACCCCTTACTCGATTCTTCTGCACACAACACACCTTCTTTACCTGCCTGGCCAATGTGGTATTGATTGGCATCGGCAGAATTGCAAGCCAAACGTAAAATTTTATGAATGAATTCTGCACACAATTACAAATGCATTTACAGCATACATAACTATGTATGTGCGAATGAATTTATGAATGTTAGATTTTAGATACACAGATACAAAGATACCGTGTCTTGTGTGGCGTGAACGTTGCGCGTGTCTCAGTTGCGCTCACACGGCTTTTACTACTTTGTGGGCGTCTTGTTGGCTGCAAAATTTTTCTACCTCAAGGAAATTATTTGCGGACAACAGGTTGCATTTGCATTTGTATGTATGTATGTTCAGCCAATAAATACTATATGTAGTAGCTCTGATGTGTCCGACCAGAATGTATATACATACATACATTAGAGTGCATCACCAAGAAAAATTGCGGTTTTTACGCCGGGATTCCAAAACTTAGTATTTGAAGATGTTCACCAAAATATTTCGGAAAAATATTAAGATTTACGTGAGCTGTATCGATTTGAAAATATCTCCGAAAATTTAGTTTTTTATGAATAAAAATAGTTTCTTTAAGAATTTTTTGTAAACAAAAAAATCGTTTCAGATGACGAAACAGTTTAAGCTTACAAAATCTGCAAAAAAAAACTTATAAATCTTTTCAACGGAATCGTAATAATAACATATTTGATGCTATTTTTTAACTTTTTCAAAGGTTGGTTTAAGAAAACTTCAATAACTGAGCCAAAAACTACTCCGATTTAGACCGACAGCATTTTTTTTTTGTCAAATACCAACACATCTTAATTCAACTTGGAATGACGCTCGTTCACCCTACCTTTCTCTTTCGTACTTTGAATGAAGCTATTTTCAAATAAATAAAAAGGCTGAGAAAATAAATTTTCAATGATACTTCAAAAGTCTAAATAAGAATAGGTTTGGTCCAGTTATTCAAGTTTTTTTTTTTTGTACCAATTGTACCAACCTTTGAAAAAAGTTAAAGCATAAAAAAACTCGTAATTAAGATTCCGTTTAAAATTTTTTCTAATATTTTTATTCAGACTTCTCAAGCTTAAACTGTTTTGTCATCTGAGAGGATTTTTCAAAAAAAACCTTAAAGAAACTATTTTTATTCACAAAAAAAAAAAATTTTGGAGGTATTTTCAAATCGGTCCAGCTTACATAAATCTTAATATTTTTCCGAAATATTTTGGCGCAATTCTTAAAATATAATAGATTTTAAAATTCCAATGGAAACTCAGTACCATTTTTTTTGTTGTATGAAGATTGATGCAGTCTAATGTACATAAAAAACCAAGTTTGCCGTATATAAAGTCTAAAGTATTTTTGCAAGGCAATTTAGAAAAAAAAAATTTTGCCAACGCAAATTTTACAATTTTCGTCATATCTTCGGCATTTACAATCGGATCTTTAAGTATTATATGCCAATGTTCTTGTCTCGAGGAGGCATTTTTTTTTTTTTTTTGTTTCAAAGCTTATTAACCTCAACTACATCGTTCAAGTACTTACCCACCAGAACTCAGTTTTTTCCACCCTTACACACCACTCTAATATCAGTAAATTAAGGCTCACCAAAAACCATTAAACTTTCGCAAAATCAAAATACTTAGATTTTGTCAGTAGAACTATTTAAATAGGAATTGTATTGCCGAATGTACATAGGTGTCGTCGAATTTGTGTCGAAAATTTGCAAGTGTTCTGCGAAGGTTTTGCATTTTGATTGTAGGGTGGTTCGGTATTATGTACATATAAACATAGTATACATAGTGTACATTAGACTGTTTCGAAAAAAAAAACAAAAAACAAAAGGTTTCGGATCTCCGATAAGCCGAGGGATTTCGTTTATTTCATCAAAAAGAAAGCGCTTGCATAGGCTTGAAAAACTTAAATTTAGAGGTCGCTACCGGCGCTTGCAACTTTCATTTTTCACCAATTTCGAAATCTCATGTAAATTGATTTTTAGATAACTAAGGTAATATTTTTTGCAGAAAAACAATGTGGTTGCCATATCACAATTTAACGCTGGTAACGCTGGAATAGTTGTTTTCTCTTAAAAAGTTACTTACGCCCCGCAATATCGCATTTTTGAAAATTAAACAAAAAATCGCTTAGGATTGTTCTATACAGAAAAAAATATAAATTTTTTTTTTTTTTAATTAAAAAAATATTTAGAGGTGGAATAAAGTGTTCTGCTTCTATGCAGGAGATTTCCTATGACAATACAAAATTGCTAGGGGCACCAATAAAAAATCGAAAAGCTGTTTTTTTCATATAAAATACATGGAAAACTTCGAGCGCTTTGAGCGACCTCTAAATATTGTTTTTATTTCAAAATAAAAAATAGGGGTATACTTTTTTCGCCATAGAAATTCTGACTTTACCCTTTTTGGACCACCCTAATATATTTACATGTATATGTATGGATTTTATAGACCACCAATATGCATTGATGGCTAACATTTAGCCATTTTTCCTGAAATAATTCTTGGTATGCATATATGTACATACATATGTATGTATGCACATAAGTATATTTCCATTGTTGTTGGGTAGATAGTTTATTGTATGAATATAGGTATTTTTGTTCATTGATTGACTCACTTACCGTACGTGATTTTAGTGAAATTTGCAAAATTCTCCACATGCCTCTGATTTCGATAGTTTTCTTAAGCGAGCAGATGTTCGGAATACTTGTGCATACATATATTCACATGCATACATATGTACATATTTATGTGCATTGTGCAATTGTAGATATATATGTACATATACATATGTATTTTATTTTAAAAGTAAGTTCAAATTAAAGTCATATTTCAGAATTGCATTCTTGTGTATATATGTATCTACAAATGTACATATACTTACGTACATATATCGTTGCCTTTAATATAGAAAGGCCTTATCTGCCATTTTTGCTTCTTTACATAGAAACTTATTGAAAGTTTTTTGATGCTTCTTCTTATTAAAAAACATAAGAGTTAATTTCCACCAGAAGGAAAATAGATGCACTTCCATTGCATCGCAAATGTTAAACACTTCCGTGACGATTTTTCAGTTCACTTCCGCCACTAAAGAAGTTTCACTTAAAAAACAATTTTTGAATGTTGCTCCGACCAATATCTAATATTACTTCTCGTAAAGCCAAATTAATATAAATTTACATTAGGAATGTAAAATCTTTGCATTTTCAGCCTAAAAGCAGACCTTTACAAAAGTTTGATCGTAACATCGTCTCTTATGAGATAAGTCTGACTTTTATATTTCACGTCACAATTTTAAGAGTCATTTTCGAGAGTCGCTGTCAAGAAGTCAATTGAGATCCCAGTGTATATATATGTATGTATATATGAATGACATTTATACGGCGAAGAATGACCCTTAGTTGGCCTATTTCAAAGTTTTTTTATAAAATCAAAGGCAAATAAATTTTCTTCTAATAATGTTGCGGCAATTTTTTAGTCAAATTGCTGATTTTGGCTTTTTTTGGAACAAAATAAAACTTTACTAATCGAAAATGTATTGAAATTGTAAAAGTTACGCATAAACACTTATAAAAAACTATGGAATTTTTAAGCAATTTTTTTGTCTTATTTCTTACTGGATTTCCATTCGACGTCGGAAACTATCAGCAGCTTGCCTTTTTTGAATTGTTGAAGAAATATTGTTGATTTTTTTTTTATACAGTATAATCCGGGTAGATTGAACTAGTTCGTGCAGCGCCTCTTCACTCTTTGTTTGTTGCTAGCAGTTAATTTGACTTTTCCTCATTCTCCGCTAAACCAATATATTTAAGCAGTTAATGTGAAATAAGTGAAAACACACACTAGTATTTTCATACGGTCTGAGCAGATTAACACACGAAAATACACTAGTCTTTTCAGACCGTCTGAACCCGATTATGTAGTTGCGTACATTTACAGTATATAGTAAACTACTACTCCCTTCCCCTTCTCGCCATGAAAACCCGGTTTGAAAAGAGCTTAACGTATTTGAGAAGGTGATTCCCAAAATCAGGCATGGAAGATTACCGTTGTATTTTCTCACTGCTAAACAGATTAAATACAAATTGAAAATTTTATTTCCCATCCCTGGTAAACACTGGAAATTTTTTGTGTACTAAAAATTGACGAACCAATTAAACGCGATAAAACTCTGTATAAAAATATGGAAATTATAAAAAAAGTTTGCTAAAATAGCTAACTGGATTTAAAAAAAAGGCAAAAAACAGCTAATAGCTCAACACATATTTCTATAGCTAAACGGCGAAAAAAATAGCTAAATCTAGCTTTATATAAAGCTT